TATATATATATATATATACTATGATTTTAAAGGAAAGTTTAACACCAATCAGTCAAACATTACCAGGTGGACACAGTTTATYAACCCTACAGTGATTTTATTTCAAACAGACACTACATTAAAACACATCTGTTCCTGTAGCAACATCAGTGTGCTCATATACAAACATCATTAAAGACGAGTCACTTTAAATTAATGTAAGAATTAAAAAATTTATATACAATCTTTACACATACATGTGTTCATACAGTCAAATAAACCAAATATACAAACATGTTTTAAGAGACAAAACCAAYCAGTGCAGCATTTTAAACCAATGATTTCATTAAAAATAACAAAATCAGCGCTTCGTTATCTTCTTCATAATTTACATTTTTACATTCATTGAAAAAGACAAAGCTAAATTTAACAGTAGAAAATACAGATATGTTATTAATAGGAGGCATTTAAAAGATAATAAACCCTTCATCAGACTCATACCACCACCTACAGACCCTTAAAGTAATTAAATARAGGGTTTTCATTCAGCTAAACTGAAGATATGAAGCAGCTACAACAGCTTCAAACTAAAATATGACACCACCCCCGGTTTTTAGTTTAAATGAAGCTTTTTACAGTGGTCTAAATAAGGATGGATTCATACAAAGCTAAAAGCAGCAAACTAACCTTCAGTTAAACTATTATTCATTAAAACTACATTAAATATTTATGTTCATCTGTAAAAAAAAATCCCGATCATAGCTTAGAAATTGAATTAAATGACTTCTAACCATTACAAACTGTGACTGAACTTTGTAAACAGACAATGTAAAAGTCATCAAATCAGAGAAGAGCAAACCTTTGGTTGAAAAACTCCTTCGTTTTTGCTGAAAATTCTTTTATCCCAATTTGATGATCGTCAGACATTTTTAAGAGTTCAGAATGTTCCTTCATTGTTGTGAGTCGTTAAAACGATCCACACAAATTACTTCCTGTCCACTCAAATGTATCTTGAACTTTAAAATCACCTCGATGACAAAACGTTCACAAACGTCACAAACTGAAACAACGCTGGAGGAAACGCCCTCCACGCGGCACTTTGGAACCCGCGCCGCGCTCCTCAGACGCCGCAGTCCTCCGCCCGGTGTTGGACTTTGCGAGCGAGGGTGAGGAAGGTGGAGAGGGAGGCCACGGAGGCGTGGAAGATGAGCTGCCACGTGTTCCTCAAGCCGAGCAGGTACAGGTTGCATAGGAGGATGACGCTCAGCAGGAAGAAGGACTTTAACTTCTTCTGGGAGGAGTGGAACAGGTACAGGTGGCACTGAGGAGTCCGTAACAATATGACACGTTAGCATGATGAGATTTACACGTTAGCATGATGAGATTTACATGTTAGCATGATGAGATTTACATGTTAGCATGATGAGATTTACACGTTAGCATGATGAGATTTACATGTTAGCATGATGAGATTTACATGTTAGCATGATGAGATTTACATGTTAGCATGATGAGATTTACACGTTAGCATGATGAGATTTACACGTTAGCATGATGAGATTTACATGCTAGCTTGATGAAATTTACACG